ATTAAATAAGTCTTATATTAAGAATCAGATGAGTAACTAAAATATAATTGACAAGCCACACATCAAAATAATTTGACATCCAAATATTTAAATTGTCATGAAGATATTTCATTAGGAGCAGCAAGTCGCTCGAACCTCAGGGAAAGTTTTTTTTTTTTTTTTTGGTTTGGCAGCAAAAAGACTTCTGGTTGGGTCAGCGTAATATTCAGTAAATAGTGACAACTCAGAAGGACGAAAAGGTCATTTCGGAGGAGGTGCCCCTAGAAACCAACACACCATACTCCACAGACTAAGCGAAACAAAACGAAAAGAAGTCTCGCAGGGAACTCTAAGAGAATTAATGAGAGAGTATGCTGTTTGGGTAATCCATAATTCCGTTGGGTAATCCCTAATTCCCTGTTCCGCCTCCACCCGGTTTCTCCTTTCTTTTTCCAATCCTTTTTATATTTCCCGTTGCTTCTGTCGCTTCTCTCTCCCTCCCCTCTCTATATCTCTCACTTTCTCGCTGTCTGTTGGACCAAACAGACGCCACTCTCTCTCACACACACACCCTCTCTCTTTCTTTCTGATTCTGTTCCTTTCTTTCCTTGTCATAGACCCTGAGAGAGACAAGAGCGCGCACGCTCTCATTTCTCACCTTCCTTTCAATGGGTGTTCTTCGATCGTAACATGAGCAGAGTGGAGAGGTTCATTCTCATTTTCTTGTTATGAATCCCGCCGTCGATTCCGCTGTTGCAGCAGCGCCACCGCCATTGTTACAGCAGCAGCAGTTGCTGCAGCCCAATCGACCTTCCACCTCCTGTGATCGCCACCCGCAAGAGCATTTCACAGGCTTTTGCCCCTTATGCCTCTGCGAGCGCCTTGCCGTACTCGATCCCAACTCCTCGTCTTCCAGTTCCTCAAGCCGGAAACCACCAACTTCCCTGCCGCCGCCGCCGCTCTTAAAGCCATCTTCAGGCCCTCCTCTGGTGGTGGAGGCGGCGGGGGGAACGCCTCAGGTCGTGGAAACCGGCCACCCACTTCGTCTTCTTCATTCTTGCCGGAGCTTCGCCGGACAAAGTCGTTTTCTGCTTCCAAAAACGAGGGTTTCTCGGGTGTCTTTGAGCCCCAGAGGAGGTCCTGTGACGTAAGGGCTCGAAGCACTCTCTGGTCCCTCTTCAATCAGGACGACGGACGCAACCCTCCGAAGAATGAAGCTCCCCGAGCTGAGGTTGAGGTTGAAACGAGGAATTTAGCCTCTTCTTCGAATTATCAGGGCCCGGCATTCGTGTCGAAGGTAGAAGAAGAGGATGAGGACGAACATGGGGATGAGGAAGAAAATGTTAAAGATCATGAAGACGAGATTATGGTTGTGGAGGAGCCAAATGTGGGTAATGTGACTGAGAATCGGGTTCAAGAAATTGTGGAAGAAGAGGGTGGAGCCGGAATTAGTCGTTGAGGAAGATATAAAGACCATGAAGGACCACATAGATCTCGATTCCCAGACGAAGAAGACTTCTGGGAGAGATTTCAAAGAGATTGCAGGAAGCTTCTGGTCTGCGGCTTCCGTTTTCAGCAAGAAATTACAGAAGTGGAGGCAAAATCAGAAGATGAAGAAACGCAGACATGGTGGTGGGTCCGCCAGACTGCCTGTGGAGAAGCCTATTGGGAGGCAATTCAGAGATACACAGTCGGAGATCGCAGATTATGGATTTGGGCGAAGATCGTGCGACACCGATCCAAGGTTCTCGCTTGATGCTGGCCGAATGTCGCTTGATGCTGGCCGAATGTCGTTCGATGATCCTCGTTACTCTCTAGATGAGCCTAGGGCTTCCTGGGATGGCTACTTGATCGGAAGAACGTTTCCGAGAATGCCCACTATGCTTTCTGTGGTGGAAGATGATCCAGTTCCCGTTTTGAGGACGGATACTCACATCCTAACTGAAGAGCCCGCGAATGCGATTAATGAAAATGATATGGCTCCTGGTGGGTCCGCGCTGACCAAAGAGTACTATTCGGATTCTAGGAGAAGGAAGAGCCTTGATAGGTCCAACTCGATTAGGAAAACTGCAGCAGCAGTCGTAGCGGAGATGGATGAATTGAAGCCAGTTTCAAACGCCAAGGTGACTCCTGCGTCTGCCGATTACTTGCATGGCCAAAAAACGGTTTTCGCCGATAGAGACTTGAGAGATTCAAACTCGAATTCAATGAGGGATGATAGCTCTGAGACCTTTGATATGGGTTTTAGAGACACTTCATCTGTTATTGGGAGTGGTGACCGGAAAGGGTCTAAGAAGTCTGGCCGGTGGAGCAAGGCTTGGAGCATTTGGAGTTTTTTCAGAGGTGGAAATAAAGATGAGGATGAAGATCGGTATAGTAGAGCTAACGGGGTTGAACGTTCTTACTCAGAATCTTGGCCAGACTTAAGAGGGAATCGCAATGTAGATGCCAGGAGTACTTTCAATGCCAAGGTGTTTCGAAGTAACAGCAGTGTGAGCTGGAGAAATGCACAAAACATTGGTGGATCATTTGATGGCCCTCTGAGGAAGAATGGTGTTCAGGCTAATGGACAGGGAAAGAAGGCTAAAGATGAGTTTGCGTTGGAAAGGAATCGGAGTGCAAGGTATTCTCCCAGCCATTTCGACAATGGTCTCTTAAGGTTCTACTTGACGCCACTGAGAGGCAGCCGGAGAAATGGGTTCGTGAAAAGCAGGTCGAACCAGGCACATTCTATTGCAAGGAGTGTACTTCGATTGTACTAAAATTGAAGGTCCTTAAGGTGTTCTTTGGTTTGATGTTAGTTAATTTTGCTCCATTTGTTGTGTAAACAACATATGCTTGTGTATTGGTTGGTTGGATAAAGCACCCTGCATTTTTCTTTCACAGTGAGTAGCAACGCATGCTTCTTCAGTTACTCTGGAATAACAAGAATTTTCAATGTCTCTTTTGCTCTAAAAATGCTGTTTCCAGTGGGCATGATTCTTTGCCTATTCTTCCATATTAGTTCCTCTTGTTCCCAGAAAAGGCATGGGACATGCATACGGATCCATTGACAATATCAATATGAGAACGATTTGGTTTCTTTTTCTGTCTCTATACTGCAAAAGGTTAGCTGGTTGGTATAAGGTTACAAGGCTTATAATTGTGAAGGATTTTTGTAGTTGAATTTTTATTTTATTTTTGCATGTTACATATTCCTGCGAAAGTGGTAACAAGGTGGGCTCACGCCACCTTGTTTTGCTTCTCGTCATAGATTGTTAGAGTATAACACTGTACCTCTGTCTAAGTCCCTTTTCCTTTTCCACCCACTAATCATACTTTATTACATGTGACTTTACCCCAGGCCATGGTCCCAACAAATCACTTTAGTTTTGCCATATCAGCACAGCTATGTACATTCCAGGCTGGATTGAATTGAAAGAATTTGTTGATCTTTCAATATATCCGCAACTTATAATCCTCCAGCTTCATAGCTAAGACCATGTTATTGTTGGTTACGTTCCTTTAGGGCTTTCAACAGTAATACTGTAGCAAAGTTGGCTTTCTGTGATATTATGACTTGGTTTTTTTAATGGTTCTGTTGTGTACAGTGTGTCCTAAATTTTGAACTGTTTTTGTGGTTTTAGTGATGTAGGATGTGGGCGAGGATGGACCTGAAAGGTACAGGAAAAGTTGTGAGGACATAAGATAGGTGGATACAGAGTAAGGAGAAGAAGACAAACTGCTAGCAGATACATAGAAATAAGAGTGCAGAAGGTTGGCCCTCCATGTTTGGAAAAGAAGAACAATTTTGCAGATTTGTGTAGGAGCTACTGATTAACTTGAAACTGGGGAATATTACTGCAACTAGCATGTCAAGTCGACAGCATGTGTTAACTTGATGTGTTTTTTCTTTTTTACCATAATGTACAAATTTATTCGGTATAGAAATTTTAACAGTTGCTTAATGCTTATCCCTCTAGTTGCTAATTGCCATCCCTTCTCTCCTTAACCATCTTCCTTCCTGCTCATGGTATTAGTCGTGAGAAGTTATTCGTGTTTATGACATGGCACTAGAACCACAGGAGATTTAGTTTTGCTAGATTCTCAGATCTTTGAGAGAAACATTAAGGAGATGTCTTTCATGGCCCAAGTAATGAACCATCCTTGTCGGCTTAAGCTTAATCTGATTCAGTGAAACCATGATGAAGTTATTCACGACTAATCTACGAATGTGCTTTTTCACTAGCAATTGGATTGAATTGAAGGAGCCTGTGATCCTAGCTCATATCTGGTCCAAAAGCTTGTGAGAACAGAGACTGTTAACGTGCTTTCTTCTTGTTTTTTTTAACAAGATAGTTTAGGTGAGTTGAATCTTAAGACTTGAAAAATGCTAACTAGAGATACTATTTCTGATATTTAATATAAGACCTAATTGATTAATTTGAAGAGATTAAAAAAATTAATTAAATTAGTTATTTATAATAAATATATATTATTTTTTCTGAAACAACCTTACTAATAATGTGTACCAATTAGAATTATTATTTGATAGAACCTTTAATATGTATAATTTACAAGAATTATTTTGGAAAAAAATATAAAAGATAAAATAAATTTAAGTTTTATATTTAACATCAAATTAAAAATCAAATAAACTTTTATTTAAGAACCAAAAGTAATACTTAACAAGGCTTTTTCATCTGCAATAAAATTCAAATTTATAATATTATGAGTTATGAGTCAATTTTTTACCAAATAATATTTTAAAGACCGATTAAATGAATGGCCCATCTTCACGTTTCATCGTATTTTTTTGTTTAGAATAAAAATATAAACTAACATACCTTATAAAACATAAATTGACTCTGGAATAATGTCAGCAGGACTTACAATGTAAAACGAAAAAGACAAGCATACAACAAATTATGGACGAAACAACAATGTAAATAAGCATAACATCAAGGATTAAGTTCAGACACGAGAGCCCCCATGACGGAAATAGAGCAACGATCTGTAAAGAGAAGCAACATAGAGGAAGCAGAGGAGCGCAACAAGGAGATCATCCAACAAACCAAATATTCCCAACATCGCTTCGGGAATAATGTCAACAGGGCTTACAATGTAAACAACACTTGATATCATTGCCATATAGACACGAGCCTTAATGACAAGAGGAAGTGATCTGTGAGGATCCATCAGCTCCCTCAGTAGCCTTCGCAAGAGAAAAGGAAGATCTTGCATTCTCTGAAGCAGACCAGTTGCCTGACCACCAAACAGACGATTGTATGCTTCAATACCTTGTAGAACCTCAGCAACTTCAGGGTCATAACGCTGCCTTAAAAAGTCCTCAGTTGGAACCAGCAATGTAATTTGACGGCGACATAAGGGGCATCTGCATGGCCTGACAGTAGATCCATGGTGCCACACTTGCATAATACATCTTCCGCAAAACCAGTGAGAGCAATTGGCTTGGCAAGGATTGTTGTAGTCTCCATGGCACACGGAACAAAAATCGCTGGAAGGAGGACCCTCCATTTCAATCGAAGCTGTGAAATTGCTGTTTCATCGTATTTTAAGCATGAACCTAGGATGTTCTTCTGAAAAGCACGCAATTTCTGGCAACAATGAAACTGCTCTTCCGGAAGGCCGAATTACAAAATATTTGGGTCGGTTGGTCTCCATTTAAAAACAAGATAAATTAAAGTTCTTGTCAGCCTTCAGTTACGATTAAGGTCGGGTAAGGATGGACTGTTGGAGTCTAAAAATTAAAAAATCTTCTCTATGTAAATTTAAAAAAAAAAAAAAAAAAGCAGCCTAGCTTACATTTATGTTGATGGAACAGAAAAAGTGGCTAATAAAATGGAAACTGAAGCAGTGTGACTCATCGGTTCAAGCACAGAATCGGATTAGATAGGGGTTATACGACGGGTTTTACTCTCTTGGGTTTAGAACCCTAACCTCCCTGCTCATACTCAGATCAAACTCTAGAAAATGAAAACGACGATTTGGAAGTTTTGAATCCTTATAAAGAAATATTAATACATTTCTTCAATAAACTCAAGATCAGAAGGATGTATTGTTATTATTATTATCTATCTTTAATGCATGAAGAGCTTATTAATTCGACGCAATTTTTCAATTTTTTTAAATCTTGTTGATGCATGCATAAACTTCTAAATAGGCCATTTAATTCTGCCATTTTTAATGTTGCAGTGTTTTCGCTCTTAAAAGATATACATGTGCATTACCAAATGTGTCGTTCAATTACATATATGTATTTTCATGTTCAGTTTTTTTAAAGGAAGAAAACTCTATGATAACAACTAAATCTAACGATCATGGTTCAACAAGAAAGATCATTATGTCTAAATCCAATTGCGAAGTGATATGGCCATTGTGCTTTGTCTCTTTTGGAAACAATTTTTAAGGATGAATTGTCATCAAGTTAGACACAGAAGTCAAAAAGCTACGAGAAAAATAAGATTAAAAAAAATCCAACATTTTGCTTAATGGTGAAGATTTAGGGGTGCACATAGACGGTGCTGGGCAGGGCGGGACCCCTGCCCGATGCCCAGCTCAAAATATGCAGGCCCCTGTCGGTAGAAGCCCTAAAAAGGCTGGACAGGTTTCATTGCCCAAAAAGTGATGCCATGCTAATATCATATGGAAAAAAAATTCCATCCACACCTAAAAATTAGGTTTCATAGTTCAAAAAACACACACCAAATCAGCAGCTAGTATTGATTTCATTGATTCATAAGTCAAAAAAGTTTTAAAACACAACAACTTGAATAAACCAGCAGCTAACACAGTTCATAAGAAATCCATCCCTCGTTTAAAGTTAGGCATCTGAAGCTTACATACATACATATATATATATATATATATATATGAACAATCAGTTACTGACTTTGATTCAAAATAGAAAAATAAAGTATCAATTACATTCGAGGCCAATAGTATATCAGCTGTCAAGCCTTATTCACAAGAAAAGTTCCTCTTTTTAACTCAACACAAGAATTTTATCATCACCCCAACGATTTTTATTAACTATCATTCAATTTTAAACTCAAGATTCAAAACTAATTTATTATTGCTATCAGTATAATTAACTATCAATACCTGAAACCAAATCAAAGAAATCTAACAAGGAACTGAGGATGAAAAAATGGGGCAACTGGAATGAAAATGAAAACAGAAAAATAGCAAGAAACACAAACCTGAGAGGGGGGAGACGATAGACGCGACGGAGTGAGAAACTGAAGTCTGAATCGAGATTAGCTGGAGATCGAGGGAGACGAGGGATGGAGGGAGATCCAGGGGAGCTAGGGCGCGGATTAGGCTTCTCTCCTTTTCTTGTCCCCTCCGCTACTGTTCGCTGCCCTCTTTTTTTTTAATTAAATTTTCTTTCTTTCTCAACTCTTCATTAAGCCTTGCCAGGTTGCATTTTCCTTCCTCTCTCTCGCTAGCTTGGACACCTCATCCATGACTATGCTCCGAGGACAAAATAACAAAACCCCAAAAACAGAAAAATAAAGAAAAAAGGTTTACACACATGACACATGCACATCTTTATTTCTATTATCTTGATAAAATCGATTTTATTGTGAACTTTTATCAGTTTTTCTTAATCATAAATATCCTATACTCATGATCTATTAATTATAACGTAAATATGGATTATACAACATATAAGTTGCCAAAAAAATATCAAATGTAAAAAATATTATTACTTTTCGGTCCTTATTAATAATGTACATTAAAATAAAAACCTCATAACATGTACAGTCGTAATAGAAACTATTTAAAAGTAAATAAATAAATGTGTTACAAAATGAATTGGTATCTTATATTTAGGACAAATTAAAACTCTAACTAGTTCTTATATTTAAAACTAGAGGTAGCATTATGTTTATTTTAATCTAGACCATCCAAAGTCATGGATGACTCAAATTCAATTTATCATTTTTATAATTTAAAAAAAACCCAAAGTAGTTGATATTATGATTGCACATGTTAAGAGGTTTTCATTCTAATCCACATTATTAATAAGAGTATTTTAGGATGAATAATATTTATTTGTTACAAATAACTAACTTAACTAATTTTGACAAAAAAAATTAATTTAACTATTTTTTTTATATTTATAAATTAGTTATTTAGTTTTTATATTAAAGAACAGATGTAATAATATTTTTTACATTTGGTATTTTTTTTGGCAACTATGTTGTATAATCCATCTTTATACTAGTCATAATTAATACTCCTCCGGTCCTTAATATAGGACCCAATTATTGAGTTGGTTTTGGTCCTAAATATAAGACCCATTTCTCATATTTATCAATTTTCTCTAAATTACCCCTATGGATACTCCCTCAACCATAATCAAATAGAAGAGGAAAATGGGGTATTAAGAAAGATGATTATGGTGTTTTAGGAAAAATGTGTCACTTTTCTTATAATTAACCAACTTACCTAACTTCTTTAATCTAATCAAATTAATTAAATGGATCTCATATTAAGGACCGGAGGAGTAGATTATGAATATAGGGGCTAATATTTATGATTGAGAAAAACTGATAAGAGTTAACAATAAAATCAATTTTTGGTAAGAAAAAATCAATTATATCAAGATAACAGAAACAAACATATGCGTGTGTGCCTACCTTTTCTTTTCTTTATATTTTTCCCGGTTTTTTTTTTTTTTTCATATTGTCCTGGGAGCATAGATGAGGTGTTTAAGTTAAGGAGAAAATGGGAAGAAGAGGTAACATGGTAAGGCTTGGAGGAGGGTTGAAAAAGAAAGGGGGGAAAAGAAAGCGACCAACGGACCGTAGCGAAGACAAAGAAAAGGAGAGGAGCCTAAGCTGCGGCGGGAGCAATCAGAAAAAGCAAGGACTGAAAAAAATAATGGTTAAAAACTTAAAATATGATAAAATCTTATAATATGTATTACTATATTATATACTACATATTATTATATTACGTTTGATTGTTAATATAAAATCTTATTTGATTTTTATTTTATTTTTAAGTATAAAATCCCAATCTACTTTTTTTTTCTTATTTATTTATTTATTTTTTTAAAGATAGTCCTTTCAATAATAATAATTCTAGCTAATAAACTTGATTAATAAGGATATTTTAGGAAATACAATATTTATTTATCACAAATAACTAACTTAACTTATTTTTTTAATCTACTCAAACTAGTCAACTAGTTTTTATACTTAGGACTATAGGTAATAATATATTATTATAGATATTTCGGGTGAGGCCAAACGGATAAAACAGGATACCATGCCCGCAGCTTGACCCTACTCGTGATCAATCCTGCCCAAAAGTGCCACTTTCTTTTTGGGCTGTGTTTTTAAGGATCAGGCTAGGCTTTTTTTTTTTTTCGGGCTCGTGCGGTTCACCGGGCCTGGCATGGTGGACATCCCTTCTGAGGATAACATAGAGAAAACGGAGGATGGAATATACAACAGAGAGAGGTTGGCATCCCAATTAGTACTGGGAAAACGGGCCGGCCCGTTTAAGCCCGAGTTCCAAAAATCACTCATTTTTTCAAGCCCGGCCCGCGAGATAACAGGCTCAGGCTGGCCCGCGGGCTTTTAGCCCTTTTAATTAAAATGAAATTTTTAAATTTTTTTGCATATTTTATCAAAATAATAAAAATAAAACAATAAAGTTACTAATAAAAGGTATAAATATAAATAAAATTAACTTACAAATATAAACATCATCATGTCTAAACATATATCACAGTGTAATAGAGTCTATTGAATAAACAAACTAAATAGAGGACAGACGTAAACAACTAAATAAGCACTAAGTTCAGTAAATAATTACAATGTAGATGATCTGGTTTAATTATCAATAATTAACAAAAAAGTTTAACTAACAAACATAGTATACATAAAGAATAATCATTTGTCATACCGATAAAAAAGAAAAGAGTCCATCATCTTTAGTTCTAAATTTGTTTCTAACTATAAAAATGATATAGATCTTTATTTTAGTTCAAAAGATTTTTTGATCAATTATATTTCAAGTATAAAAAATATGGGAGAATAACAAATAAAGACCATAAAAATTACACATACAGTATTTTAACAAGTTTTGACAACTTATAAATAACAATATATTTTTGTGAATATGTTTAGTTTTAAATTTTGCAATTTTCACGTTTTTTTGGTTATTTTTCCCACAACTATAATGATTCTTTTTTTTTTTTGTGAATGCTATCTATGTGAACGGTTGGAATAAGTAAAATTAAGATTATGCTATGTCTAAAATGTTAGGGTTTCTTTTTTTAAGTTAAGAAAAAAATATAAAAATTAAAAAAAATTGACGGGCCTAAACAGGCCGGCCCGCGGCCCTACAGGGCCAGCCCGTTTATTTTTCGGCCCTACAGGGCTGGCCCTTTTAAGCCCGACTTTCCTTTCAAGACTCCAAAATACAAGCCCGGCCCTCGACTTAAACGGGCTTAAACGGGCTCGGCCCGACGGGCTCGGCCCGTTTTCCCGACTCTAATCCCAATGGCATGTGATGGCCCAACTTTATTAGGCGTCATTTTGGTAAGTGGAGAAGAAGTCATTTGTTCAAGGCCTTTATTTATGGATCACTTGGCAACACGGTTTTACATTAATATCTATTCCACGATTCCATGTCTCATTTTGAAGTACAAAATTCTTTTATAAATGGAAGAATGACGATTGGATTTGATGATGTTTTTGTTTTCACAAAGAAAAACAAAGTCCATACACAAAGTCACAAAGTTAGGCAACAACATTGTTACAATTCATAAGCACTAGCCTGCTTATATATTACCTTAAGTCTTTAATATAAAAACTAAATAACTAATTTACGAATATTAAGAAAATCGATTAAGTTAGTTAGTTATAATAAATGAGTATCGTCTTTCCTAAAATATTCTTATTAACCATGTGTATTAAAGTGAAAGCTTTTTGAAATATGCAATTACTATAGGGACTATTTTGAAAAATAAATAAATAAATATGGACACCTCATCCATGACTATGCTCCGAGGACAAAATAACAAAACCCCAAAAACAGAAAAAAAAAAAGGGGTACACACATGACACATGCACATATTTATTTTTATTATCTTGATATAATCGATTTTATTGTGAACTTTTATCAGTTTTTCTCAATCATAAATAGCCTATACTCATGATCTATTAATTATAACGTAAATATGGATTATACAACATATAAGTTGCCAAAAAAAAATATCAAATGTAAAAAATATTATTACTTTTCGGTCCTTATTAATAATGTATATTAAAATAAAAACCCCCTAACATCTACAGTCATAATAGGAACTATTTAGGAAAAAGTAAATAAATATATGTCACAGAATGAATTGGTATTTTATATTTAGGATCAAATTACTAGATGGACTATTATGTTTATCTTAATCTAGACCATCCAAAGTCATGGATGACCCAAATTCAATTTATCATTTTTATAATTTTAAAAAACCCAAAGTAGGTGATATTATGATTGCACATGTTAAGAGGTTTCCATTCTAATACACATAATTAATAAGAGTATTTTAAGACGAACAACATTTATTTATTACAAATAACTAACTTAACTAATTCTGACAAAAAAATTAATTTAACTAATCTTTTAATATTTATAAATTAGTTATTTAGTTTTTATATTAAAGACAAGATGTAATAATATTTTTTACATTTGGTATTTTTTGGCAACTTATATGTTGTATAATCCATCTTTATACTAGTCATAATTAATAGATTATGAATATAGGGGCTAATACTTATGATTGAGAAAAACTGATAGGAGTTAACAATAAAATCAATTTTTAGCAAAAAAATAAAATAAAATCAATTATATCAAGATAACAGAAATAAACATATGCCTGTGTGTCTACCTTTTCTTTTCTTTATTTTTTTCCGGGTTTTTTTTCATATTGTCCTGGGCGCATAGATGAGGTGTTTAAGGAGAAAGTGGGAAGAAGAGGTAACATGGCAAGGCTTGGAGGAGGGTTGAAAAAGAAGGGGAAAAGAAAGAGACAGCGGACCGTAGCGGAGACAAAAAGAAAAGGAGAGAAGCCTACCCTGCGGCGGGAGCAATCCGAAAAAACATAAAATTTTATTTGATTTTTATTTTGTTTCTAAATATAAAACTCCAATCTATTTTTTTTTTATATTTATTTTTTTTAAGATAGTCCTTCTAATAATAGTAATTTTAGCTAATAAACTTGATTAGTAAGGATATTTTAAGAAAGACAATATTTATTTTTCACAAATAATTAACTTAACTTATTTTCTTAATTTATTTAAACTAGTTAACTAACTTTTATATTTAAGACCATAAGTAGTAATATATTACTATAGATATTTCGGGTAAGGGCAAATGGATAGGGTAAGATACTTAGCCCGCAATCCTACCCTACCCGTCATCCTGCCCAAAAGTGTCATTTTCTTATTGGGCTGTGTTTTTAAGGGTTGGGCTAGGTATTTTTCCGGGCTCGTGTGGGTGTACCGGGCCTGGCGTTGTGGACATTCCTCCTGAAGATGACATAAGGAAAACGGAGGATGGAATATAAAACAGAGAGGGGTTGGCATCCCAATGGCATGTGATGGCCTAACTTTATTAGGCGTCATTTTGGTAAGTGGAGAAGAAGTCATTTGTTCAAGGCCTTTATTTATGGATCACTTGGCAACACGGTTTTACATTAATATCTATTCCACGATTCCATGTCTCATTTTGAATTACAGAATTCTTTTATAAATGGAAGAATGACGATTGGATTTGATGATGTTTTTGTTTTCACAAAGAAAAATAAAGTCTATACACAAAAGTCACAAAGCTAGGCAATAACATTGTTACAATTCATAAGCACTAGTCTGCTTATATACTACCTTAAGTCTTTAATATAAAAAACTAAATAACTAATTTGTGAATATTAAAAAAATTGATTAAGTTAGTTAGTTGTGATAAATGAGTATCGTCTTTCCTAAAATATTCTTATTAACCATGTGTATTAAAAGTGAAAGCTTTTTGAAATATGTAATTACTATAGGGACTATTTTGAAAAATAAATAAATAAATATGAAAAATAAATTCAAGTATTATATTTAAAGCTAAATTGAATCTACACTTAGCTTTTTATATTTATAATTGGAGCTTGTGATCTCTGTTCTTGCTTGCATGCTTGAATCCTACTTTGAAAAATCAATAGATAGTTACTCTTACAGTCCTAAATATAGACCTTTATATAATGTATATAAGGGTCTTATATTTAGGATTGGAGGAGTAACTTGGACGAATAAACAGAAGATGTGCAAACTTGTTTTGGTTGAGTTATCCAAAATGCTTGACCTTAGGAACTGCTTTCAACAAGCTTCCTGATAATAATCACCAGAATTGGAATTGGATCACTACCTGGCCTGTTGCTATCATGCATGGTTCTGATAAACTAGGAATCAAGAAATATCATCACTGAGGAATTCTGATAAACTTCTCCTCACCAGTGTCATTATTCTCCTATTGGCATTTTAACAGCAAGCCAATGATTCTGTCTGTCTTCCTGTTGTTTCCCTGCTTTAGGTTAGTGGTAGAAGCTCAATTTGTATGGCTTTGAATACTTCTCTAATGGTTGATTTTTGGAGTTTAATTTCGCAAATTTAGATATGGAAGAAGCATTAATTAAGCTATCTCTTTCAAATATGCATACCCCTCTTTCCAAATATATTATATGCATTCATTTTAGTAAAGATTCAAGCTTTTACAACCTTGTCAAACCCAAGTTTCTGGCCCCCTTTTATTTACCATGAATAAAAGGTAATGCCTTCGCAATGCCAGTCAAGATGTAAAGTATTCATTATATTCCTAATTTCCTATAATCATTACTCAACAAATATTTTTCATATTATTAAATTTTATCTAGGGATATATATGGCATTTCATATCTAAAAATAACTTTTTTCGTTCCATTTCCTTTTCTATTGTATTTTCTTCTACAACTATTCTTTTAATTTATTAACCAGGAGCTTAGGAAACTAGTCACTAGATTCGTTGTTTAGAAGAATTTTAGCGTCAATGTAACTAAATGTAATTTGATTGTGGTTGATATTTTTTTGTTGATTTGGAATAATTAGAATTTCCCGTTTAGCATAGTTTCATACTACACGAGTTGACCATAATACATTAATTATTTGATCACTAAAATTATTATAAACTGATTTGGTATTCATTAAGATTTTCCATTATAGATTTTTTTTAAAAAAATTGTAATCTTTTCATTTAAAAAAAAATTAAACAAACGAACCTAAATGAATATATCTTCATCTCAAATTCACTTCTTCTTGACTCTTATTGTGCCTACTTAATGTATTTTAATACCTAGTGAAGCCAATATGTTAAGGAAGGGTGCTGAGTAAGAGCTGTTCTGTGTCACAACAATGGAAGAAATAAACCACAAGAAGTAGAAGAATGTGAGCTTTTTCTTTCTTCCTATTTACAATGAATCACAGCAAACATAGATGCGCTTCATTTAGTTTCTTCTTCATTATCATCATCTTGGTTGGTCTTCTCCTGTGATATCGCACTGGTTTCTGATGACATTTTCTGTTCATAGATGAACTGAGAAACTAAAGCCACAAGAATGGCTGCAAGAGCTGCAACTTTTCTCCAATCAGTAGGTGAAGAAGATGAAAGAGAATCCACAATTCCAAAAGAAAGGAGGCCAATGAAGAACAAGTAAATGTTCTTTCTGGTTCTGCTTCCAGCTTTTTCTTTAGTCACATCTTTGATCTTTTCTGCTTCCTCTTTGGCTTTCTCTTTGTCAACTACAGGAGCTTTCTGCCTCAGATTCTTAAAGAAGAGGCCTTCGTTTCTGTCATCCTCCATTTGATCTTCAAAATCAACTAGCTTGTTTTCGTTCTCCTCAATCTCTCGTCTGTTTAGTTCTGCAAATTCCTCAAACTCTAGCATGCTGCTCTCTATGTTTGCCGTTATCTGTACATGATCAGCGAAGAAATATGGTACTCAGCAAATTATGCTACATTTGTTTATTATGTGAAACATAATCAAGGAAGAAATGTCATTTTCTAACTCGATTAAAGATATTTCTAAAAAATATTGCAGTAAAAATTATTATACAAAACGAGTCATACCAACAGAAACCACCCTATGGGCTGTTTATTATGTGGAACAGGATTTATTAGAGTTAAAACAAGAGACATACCCTTTCGCTAGCGTGTTACTATAAGGGTCTTATATTTAGGATCGGAGGAGTTTTATTTATTACATTGATTGAAAAAAAAATAGTGTTATCATTATTTTTTTTGCCCTGAAAATAGTGTTATTATCCACTATTAATATGTAACAATATACTACGTCTAGTTTTTAATATAAAATTTCGTTTAACTTTTATTTTAATTTTAAATATAAAACTCAAATTCACTTTATTTCTCATATTTATCTATTTGTTTTCTAAAAGTAGTGCTTATAATAATGATAACTCTATTAGTAAGGATATTTTAAAAAAGACAACATCTATTTATTACAACTAATTAACTTAGCTCTTATATTAAGAACACTGAGTTATATAAAAAAAAATTAAAAAAAAATGGACTACTTACTAACGATATAGGAATCAGTAAAAATTTTGCGTCAAAAAAAAATACCAACAGAAAACAATCTGTGGACAGTTTATTATGCGGAACCGGATTTATTAGTTAAAGTAAGAGACATACCCTTTCGCTAGCTTCATCTAAGCCTTTGAGAGCATCGTCTCCGACTTTGTCAAGCTCAGCGATGGCTTCCTCGCCAAATTGGGTTAAATACGCGGATCTCTCATCCAGGTAATCAGTGAGGCGAACCTTCTGAGCTTGAAGCATGGCGATTCTAGCCAGAAGTTCTTGGCTGCGAGCATCTCCGTCTGGTGGTGGAGGAGGAGGAGATTGGGGATCTGAATCGCTGGACTTGCAGAGGCACAAAATGGAACTTCTGGTGCTGGGAAATCTGGCCAGGTAGAGAGTACTGTCCTGAATAGGGCAGAAGGAATGGTTGATCGCTTTGACGGCAATCATCTTTCCATTCCAAACAGAAAGAAAACGAGGAGGATTGGGGGAGAAAGGGGTTCTGAGAAGTGAATTTTGGCGTGCCGCTGAATGTATTTTGAACCTCTCGTCCTCTACATTATCTATATGGATTTTGTAGACAAGCGATGGAGATGGATATTCATTCTAGATAATTTCCTTCATTATTCGTTGTGCTAGCAAATAATAAATAAATAAATAATAGGATTAAGGAGACAGGTGAGAATTCGAAGGCTTATTATTCAAGAAATTGAGGTCATTATATGTGATTCCCCCCCCCCCCCCCCAAAAAAAAAATTAATGATTTCGTTGATGTAATTTTGATTGGGACCAATTCAGTACTTATAATTTTAACCAGGTCCCTGCATTTTGAAAAATAAAATTCTGAAAATAAGTTTTTTTTGAAAAAAAACATTTAGATACTAACGATTGTTAATAAAAATTTAGTTGTATGAAGTTAAATATTGGAAAATGAGTTGCAATTGAAATAAAATTATAGGAATCAAATTGTAATAAATTAAAATTTAGAAGCTGAGTTATAATTCAGAACAAATTATACAATTTTTTTCAACAAAAATGACCTTTTTTTTTCGGGGCTGGGGACGAAAATGTGATTGAAGTTTTAGGGATTTTAATCGCATAAGTTAACCAGCCCAAAAATAGAGGTCATTATAGTCTGATTATATGTTATTGGGCCATGGGCAGCGATCCTGTATTTTCCATAATTTGGTCCAACTTGTTTTGGTCCAAATTATTAAAAACATTGTGCCCAATCCAGGAGACAAATGGGACAGACTTGGGGGTGTAGAAAGTAGAAACTAGAAACTAAACAAATAAGAGGGGGGACAATCATACCAGGCCCAGGCCCAGGCCGAGGCCGGGGCCGGACTGTAACGGTGCACCAGAAAGATGAAAGATGAGAAGAAATAACTAAAAAGCTCAACGGTTGGAGGTGAAGAGAAAGGGACAAAGGCACTTAAATAGTGTCAGGGCAACCAGATAATATTCTTATCCACAATCAATAATTAGTGCCTAATTCATTTCTCTTTAAACTCTAATAAAGTCTTTAATGCTTGATTGATTTTCCCGTCAATTAATCATTCATTTTCTGATTCTCTTGATCAAAGAGGTTCTTCTCTCTTAGATCAAACAGTCCGGCCCATTAAAACCAGACTGAGACCCATTGTCCAACAAGAGGAACTATTAATTCGAGGAAATGATTCCTAGCCTAGGCATTAAAAAAAAAGGCCGTTTAGCAACTGGGAACATAAACCTAAATTTTCTTGGAAAAATTGCAAAAAAAGATCTTGGAATTGTAAAAACGTAGATAGGGACTCTTGATAACTCTACGTTTTTGTAATTCCAAAGTCTTTTTTTGCAATTTCTCCAATTTTCTTTTATTTTTTGAATTATTATTAACATTCAATTCACAAACTTTATACAAACTTCGTTATTTACCGATGCTTTTATTTTATGACTTTTGGGGTCATAGAAGTAAACACATGACTTCAGACGCAGATTCTCTCCTAGTGGCAGAATTATCAGTAGTATTAATCAACGTCACAGAAAAAAAGTTCACTCTTCGCGCAAATGTTGGTTTAAACTAAGATGGAAGCAATCTTAAATAATCATAATTAAAACAACTCAAATAAAATATATACAGATCCAAATGTATGACCATAATGCAACTAACAATAATTCTTGACCCAAACAAAGTCACTGATGTTGAAGAAGGCATTGCAGTTAAGTTTCCTAGTAATGCAAGGAATGAATAATTAGCAGAAGGACTTAGGTTGAAGCCCTTTAGAGTTGCCAATGCATCAACAGGCAGATCCAGTAGTCTTCTTGTATGTATACCTCTTTGCGACCCAGATAAACACAAGGAAATCAAGCAGGCTAAGAATAGCCAAGAGCCAATAGAAATAATCAAGATGACCCCTGTTAAGATTATCTGGAATCCAACCAAGTTTGCCATGCCTTGTGGTCACTTTAGTCACTATAGTAACAAGCAAAGTGCTCAAATAATTGCCTAAAGCATTAGTTGTGAGTGACAGAGCTGAGCACAAGCTCCTCATGGCATCAGGCGCTTCACTGTAGAAAAACTCCAGCTGACCAATGTTAACAAACACTTCAGCACATCCAACCAGAAAATACTGTGGAACTTGCCAGAAGATGGACAAGGGGAGGAACTCGACATCGTAGTAGTTGTTTCTACGAACCATGTTGAGACGAACAACCTCTAAAATGCCAGCAACAATCATGGAGAAAGTGGAAATGACAAGCCCTATGCCCATTCTTTGAAGCTGTGTGAATCCTCTCTCGTGGCCAGTGAACTTCCTTGCATAAGGGACAATGATGAGGTCGTATACTGGAGCCCAGAATATGACACTGAGAGTGTCAAAAAGGGATAGGGACGCTGATGGGATTTTGAAGTTAGGACCAATATGTTGATCCATTGTGTTGCCTTGTAAAATAAACATGGTATTCATCTGGCTGTATACAGTTGCAAAGATGATCAGTAATGCCCATACTGGCAACAAGCGAATTATAGCCTTCAGCTCTTGTACTTGTGTAACTGTACAGACCCTCCATGGACTTGGTGATCCCATCTTATCAGATTCAGTCTGTACTGCGGCCTTATCCAAAAACCTAGAATCAACATTTTCTATTAGATAACATCATTAATATTAATAATGTATCAATAATGTATCAGGAACAAACAGGCAAGTAGGTGCTTGAAATTGTCAGGCTCATTGGTCTTTAGTCTTTGAATGTTAATAAGTACAGTAAGTAACCCATAGGTCTTGACAGAACATGCAACTAGTAGGCTGTTTTTGGCCCTTTGGAGCCTGAATTGTGGATTCACTAATTTTTTGGTACTACATCTAAATGGCCTTGGTCAAGATCAAATTGTTAGTCATATCTGCATGTTCTTATAATTGTCTAATCCAATTAATTCTTAATAGATAGCAACTTATTTGCCATTTATCATAAAGAAATAAGCACACAGTAATATGCCTTATAAAGATAAAACAGAAACCTGGATAAGATAACTCACTTAATGTTGTCTGTATAGTCAAGCTTACGGCTTCCTTTGATGTTAGACTCTGGATCTTCAGTTTCATACAGAAGGGCCTTATCAGCTGGCACTTGCACTCTACATTTTCTGCAAGCTGCAACGATAACTTGACAAATCCTTGTAAGGGGACTCCCCCCCGGTAACTGAAGTCTGTACAGCCGACTGCCACAAAAGAAAGATATAATTGCAATGACCATTGCAACTGCTGGGACTCCAAAACCCCATCCCCAGCCAACGTTCATTTGAATCCAAACCAGCAAAGAGGAAGCAAAAAGTGCGCCAATGTTGATTGAAAAGTAAAACCAGTTGAAGAAAGAACTCTTCCTTTTCTTCTCTTGCTCATCATTTTCATCAAACTGATCTGCACCAAAAGATGACACACATGGCTTGATACCACCAGTCCCAAGAGCAATCAAGTAAAGTGCTATAAAGCAAGCTGCCGTTTGCTGCGTCGATGGATGGCAACCGCCAGAATCACATGATGGCTTTAGCCCAGGAGCAGCTGCTGACAATGTTAAGAGTGTCATTCCCTGCAAGACAAATGTAATATGATTTTAAATGACATGCAGGTTAATTGAGATAGAATAACTAGTAGTGACACACGCTGTTTGCAATGAAATTGACCCATATTTTCTTTGGTAGAGTCAGAAGCACCATTTTAGATTAAGCTTCCCAAGTAATTAATACATTGGGTAAAGACAGATAACCATCATGGTCACAGAACCACCTTTCCCAGGTAGTTAAAATGTTGATCTGTGATGACTAGGATCCAAGTAGAAAATAAAATGCAAAATTATACAATAGAGTTCTCATGAAATGCTTGAATTAAACAGGGGGAATGAAACAAAGAAGAGAAAATAGTGTCTTAATCTGAACTTACAATGACGTAGATAGTTGAGAAAGAAGCAATTGTCCAGTATCTTCCCAGGTATGCATCAGCTACAAAGGCTCCAAGCAACGGTGTGATGTAGCATGTCCCTGACCAGGTCGTGACATTATTTGCAGCAGTTGCATTACCTTGGCCAAACCGTTGTTGAAGATAGTTCACCAGGTTCGTACTCATACCATAGTAGGCCAGTCTTTCACAACATTCATTGCCTGCCACAAAATTTTTCAAGTTTACGTGAAAGGATTCTTTTATTTTTGGGGGGGGGGGGGGTTGGGATGAACAATATAAATGCAATACCAAGAATGAAGCGGCATGCTTTCCAATTTCCGGTCTTCTTCTTGTTGGCTGGATCCTTGCGGATATCGACTGTCCCATCTTTTACATATATGTCCTCGTCTGCCATGGATCAGTTCGTGGTTCTTTCAAGAAACTCTTCAACTACTGAGATCAGTTTTTATGTCCATCAAAACGACGTCTTAGTAAAACATGCAAGAAACTTTATCAAGTTCAGATTACGGATTTTCAAGGTCATGGATGATTAATTTGAAAGATTATCGGTATAAAGGAACTAGTTGAAAGATTCAGATGTGCAAGCCCAGTTATGGATTTCACGATGGCTAGAATATTTCTCAACGAAACTGCATATGATGTTATGATTCGCAAATACCGGAATATCGAAAAAAAGCCTCTAAAAGCGCAGTTTGTTTTTCTATCGCCATGCGAAAAGGTAGAAAAACGTGGAAATTAGTCAAATATAAAAATTTTGATTACCGGGACCCACAAAACAAAACTCTGGGATTCTCGCAGAACGAAGCAGAATCATAAACAACCAGTGACCAGCGAACACACATGCAAGCAAGTAGCAACCCAGAGAGAGTGAGAGAAACCATGAAAAGCGAGAAGCATACGAGTGAGAAGAGAAGCAGAGGATATACCTGGTTCACAATTCGCTGTATGTGAGTGCTATTGACGGTATTCGGATCAAAGAAACCACCAAGAAGAAGAAGAAGAAGAAGAAGAAGAAAAAGGGTTGTGTTGAGGATAATGTTATGTGTAATGCCTAATCATGCGAGCGAATCATGGAGATCTTTGTGGTTAGTGCCGTCAGCCAGCCTCCGCAGGAGCAACAGAGAGAAACGCGAAGGAAAACAACTAATTAATATCCGCCAATAGAAAGACAGTAAATTAATTGCTCAAGATATAAAAATTATCTATCTATCTTAAGAACAATGATAAGAAGGAAATAATAATAATAATAATAATAATGATAATGATAATGATAATGATAATGATAATAAAAGAGCTCAAAGATAAGTGCCTGTTGATTTTGGGTGAGAATGAGAAGGGAACAACGCAATTACAAGAAAAGATTATGATTTTAAATGACATTAATAATATCTATAAAATTTTAATAGCGGTTTAATAAAATCAGAAATCAAATCCTTGACGTCTTGTGATTATTTTGCTTTAAATCATATATAGAGTATCATTAATATTTATTAAATTTAGAGGTATGACAGGGTATTGACCGAAGAGGATTGATTTTGTTGAAAAGTCAACTATATGCTAGTATGGCTAACTAGTAGTGTGGAACTGGGTGGAGGAAAAAAAGCCTGCGGATAGAAGCCATAGTTGCAACCTGCGGATGTCTTTTAATGAAGATAAAAATGAAAGTAGTAGTATAAAAGTTTTTAAAAAAATTATTGCTTATATTTAAGACTAATCTTACGAGAGTGAATGTTGTTTATATACAACAAGGGAGGGATATAAAATGATTCATAGTTTAGTAAGAAAAAGATTAATTTGTGCCATGTTTGATGTAGAAAAGTGTTTTCTAATTAAACAAGAAAATAGAATTATATCTATCTCAATTTTTTCTCAGTATACACTGATTTTCACCTTTTCAGAAAGTATTTTTTCAGATCCTATATATCATTTCTGGTCCTTAATATAAAACCTTGTTTGACTTTTATTTTAGTCCTAAATATACGACCCCAATCCACTTTGTCTCTCAAATTTATATATTTTTTTCAAGAAAGTCCTTCTAACAATAGTAGTTCTAACCAATACACTTGATTAGTAAGGATATTTTAGAAAAGACAACACCTGTTTATTATAAATAACTATCTTAATTTCTTTCTTTAATCTCTTTAAATTAGTCAACTAACTTTTATAATTAGGATCGGAGGTAGTGTATTACATTATAATATAATTTGTAGAGCTGAGAATTGTATTGGTAATCCACTCGTTTTTCCTTAACTAAAAGAAATTAAAAACATGCACTTTATGAAGAAAGTTACATTTTTTCAACCCAAGAAAGTTACATTAGGACCTTAGTTGGTCTTTGGTCAAAAAAAAAAGAAAAAGGGACCGTAGTTGGCTTTTTCATCCTTTTTATCATCCACGACTTCCTCATTTATGATGGGAATTGATTAAAGGTGGAAAATCATGCCCCAAAAAACCGCAGTTAAGGTCAATATACAATTTTCAACGCTTCTTTGATTATCATTTTTCAATGCTTTTCAAATTTATTTTAAAAAATTAATAATTTTTTTAGCAAATGATAAACATAGAAAAAGTTTATTAATATGCACATCATATAGTTATAGAGAGTTTGAAATAGGCTATATTATTTAATCATTTATAAACAATACAAATTTCCATATATTTTTTAATACCAATAACACAACTTTGGATTTGCGTTGCCATCTGCATCTGCAGGGGTGTTTAGATAAAAAATTAAACTATGATTTTAAAAGTAATTTTACAAAATAAATATATGAAAAATTTATCTCAATTTAAAAAAAATATTTTTAAAAAGCATTTTCAGCAATAGCCAAATACTCCCTATGGCAAATCTTAAAAGGAAAGGCAGTAAATGGGAAAATAGCAATCTACAGCGTAAAAAAGAAGAAAAAAAAAGAAAAGAAAAGGATGATAGTAATGAGTTTGGGTGTACCAAAAACAATTGATGGCCCACTTCTCCATTCAAGACATTAAATGTCACATATTGCCTTAAATCTATGCTTCCCATAAGTAAAGTATAATATTCAACTATGCATCCCACCTCATATCTTCGTTGAACCATATAGTTTACCCTTTTCATCATTTTAAATTTTAATTACCATTTATTGGCTTTCATCTCACTATGATAAATTCATGTAAATATGGCATCCAGCATATCAGACACCTCATGATCTCAATAAATAGTCCTCACTCCCATTCATTAATCTCCCTTACCACAATTTTCATAAATTGTGTAATATCGTCATGAGAATTGAAAAAGAGAACAACGTCGACCAACAGAATAAGAAATAATTAATCAATTATCAAACATAATAATAAAACATGACGGCATACCCTCCCTTCTCCCATTTATGTTTGAATGGAGCAAAAGGTGAAAGAAAATTAAAAAAAAAAGTAAAAAAATTACTATTTTTGAAAGTTTTTCTTCCTAATATTCTTTCCGGTTCATGTTCACTAAGTATTATATTGATCAATTATTATTTGGTTGGGAGAATTACAATGAGATTCCAAACAAGAAAAACAATTAAAAAAAAGTCTCAGAAATTGTCATTCTCGCTGTAAGATCTATCATTATAGGCTGTTAAGATTGTTATTGAAAATTTTTGATAATTATTTTTTTTTATGAGACGTGATTATAATTCCTCCTGTTTGGTTCTAGTTGGGGTTCAAGATGCTCGTAGGTCTTCCCCCATGAAACTAACATTTGACTTGATGGTCGCTTAGCCATCAGCTATTGGATTCCATCATTGAGTGACGGAAACAAAGGTGAAGCAGATGGGAGGGTTATTTCTTATTGGGTCGGGCACAGACTAGTCGGGGCGGTTGACTCCGGACACGAGTGGTCTTAGAACCAAAACACTTAGGCTTGACGGTTGCTTTATTTGGGCTTCCTAAGCAACTGGACCAAAACACTTGACAATATAGGCAAGTTCAAAGCATTGTCCCGCTCGCCTTTTCCTCCGTGCCTGCCAACACTCTTGCATAAATATTAAATATTTAACATATATATATATATATATATATTATGAAATACTTGTGTATATATCTATTTAGTATTTAAAGTCTATACTATGAGATACTAATTTCCTACCTCTTTTTAACGTAACATTTATCTTAACATTGGTTTTTATTATTAATAATTTTATTTTAACTCAATTTAAAACATATTTGTTTTAAGGGAAAAAGACAGAAAAATACTACTTAAACTTCATAATCCCCAAATGGTATGTTAAATTTGAAAAATCCCAAGAGACCAAATTGGGATTATTATGTAAAAAGAAAAGACCAAATTGCCCTTTATTTTAAATATTATTTTTAAATATCACAGCAAGCCAATCACTAAAGCTCCGGCGGCGGCGGTCACCGGAGCTCTGGCGACCAGCTGACAATTGGTCACCGGAGCTCCGTTGGTCAGAAAATTTTTTTTAAAATTTTTTTACAACTTCAATATAATAGTTAACAACTTTTGTAATGCTATTAACAACTTCAGTATAACAATTAACAATAGGTTTTCTAGGAAATTCAACAAACTCCGGCAACCGGAAACAATTTTTTTGAAAATTTTTACAACTTCAATATAATCGTTAACAACTTTTGTAACGCTATTAACAACATGTTTTCTAGGAAATTTAACAAAATCCGGCGACCAGAAACAATTTTTTTGAAAATTTTTACAACTTCAATATAATTGTTAACAACTTTTGTAACGCTATTAACAACTTTAGTATATCAGTTAACAACAGATTTTTCAAAAAATTCAACAATTGGTCGTCGAAGCTCCGGTGGAGGAAAACAATTTTTTTTTTTTTGAAAATTTTTACAACTTTAGTATAATGGTTAACAACTTTTGTAACCCTATTAATAACTTCAGTATAGTGGTTAATAACAAGTTTTTGAGTTTGTTAAAGGCATTTCTGAAGTTATAAAAATGCCAATTTTTGAATTTTTTGAAAAACTTCTTGTTAACTGCTATATCGAAATTATTAACCGTTATATTGGAGTTGTAAAAATTTTCAAAAAAATGTAATTGTTAAGGTTATACTGAAGTTGAAAATTTTTACAATTTCAGTATAACTATTAACAACTTTTATAATGCTATTAACAACTTCAATATAACAATTAATAACAAGTTTTCTGGAAAATTCAACAAGTTCCGGTGACCGAAAATAATTTTTTTTTTTTAATTTTTACAACTTCAGTATAACAGTTAACAACTTTTGTAACTCTATTAACAACTTCAGTATAGCAGTGAATAACAGGTTTTTCAAAAAAATTCAAAAGTGACATTTTTATAACTTCAGTAATGCCTTTAACAAACTCAAAAATCTATTGTTAATCGTTATACTAGAGTTGTTAATAAGGTTCTAAAAGTTGTTAACCATTATACTGAAGTTGTAAAAATTTTCAAAAAAATTGTTTTCCTCCGCTGGAGCTCCGATGACCAATTGTTGAATTTTTCAAAAAATATGTTGTTAACTGATATAATAAAGTTGTTAATAGCGTTACAAAAGTTGTTAACAATTATATTGAAGTTGTAAAAATTTTCAAAAAAATTGTTTCCGATCATCATAGTTTGTTGAATTTCCCAGAAAACTTGTTGTTAATTACTACACTAAAGTTGTTAATAGAGTTACAAAAGTTGTTAACCGTTATACTGAAGTTGTAAAAATTTTCAAAAAAATTTGTTTTCCTCTACCGAAACTCCGGCGACCAATTGTTGAATTTTTCAAAAAATCTGTCGTTAACTGATATATTAAAATTGTTAATAGCATTACAAAAGTTGTTAACGGTTATATTGAAGTTGTAAAAATTTTCAAAAAAATTGTTTTCGGTCACCGGAGTTTGTTGAATTTCCCAGAAAACTTATTGTTAATTGTTATACTGAAGTTGTTAATAGCATTTCAAAAGTTGTTAACTGTTACATTGAAGTTGTAAAAATTTTCAAAAAAAAAATTTCCGACCGACGGAACTCCGGCGACCAATTGTCGGCCAGTCACCAGAGTTCTGGTGACTATTGCCGCCGGAGCTCCGGTGACTGGCCGATCAGTGGGAGCTGTGAT